TACTGGAAGGGCTTGACATTCAACCGCTAGGGTTTTGTGCCTTTAGTGAAGGGTTTTTCCCCGTTAAAAATGTAATATCCCTGGTAAGAGAAATACTTTAGCTGTTTTTCGTTATTTAACATCTCAATGTATACGAGTTGAAAATGGGGAGAGAGCTGTGTGCTCGTCTTGGAAGAATGTATTAAGTCGCCATCTTCATCCTCACTCAAACAATGGGAACTTGGAAGGACATTGGTTGACTGGAGTATATCCAGAAGAGGCTGATCAGAACTAGGGGTAACAGGTGTGAGTTTCAGAGAGACCGATTTGGGCCCAATGTGGCAGAAAACTTCAAAACAAATAGAGTTGTCTGAAAATTGAGTAGGCTGCCTTGGTAAGTAGTGGTTCCCTATCCTTGGCGATCTTCCAGTAGCAGCTAGATGACCAGTTGTTTGGGGATGTCATAGATGGAATTCCTGCTGCAGTATGGGTTAGACTAGAGGATCCCCAAGATCCCTTCCAACTTAGAGATTCTAGGAGTTGATTTCATTTGAAATGAATTAAAAACTCATAACAGTCTTAGAGCAGGATGAGGAGATATTGGTGATTACTTGCACAAACTTTCTCATTTATTCTATGAGCCCCAGAGAAGTGATGTGATGTGTTTAAGTCTTCACATCAAGCTGTTGGCAATTAATTCTAGGACACTCTGGGGGCTCCAGGGCCGGTCCTCCTGGGAATGACTTCACTCACTGCTCATGTTCTCATGGGGACTGCGTATCTGGCAGTATCCAGTCCACAGCCCAGAGGAAAATCAATGGCGGAAAGTTGGCTTGGGCAGAGGCTGGAAATTGTGAGTGTGAGCCAAAGTGGATTTACAACCCATTTCTGTAAATTCTCTGTTCGGGTGCTTACTCCCAGATTTGGGCTGGCTGGTTTTTGGAGGCCCGGGCCCATGTGTCTTCATTGAGTTCTTTTGGATAGTCCTGGGGTTGTTCCTGCCCAGACCGGGTAGAACACTCTCCCATATCTAGCTGGGCCTGTCTTTGAATGGCCAGGCCATGGGAATGGTGTTCTTAGGACTCTTTTTACTTCCTCTCTCTGGTTCTCTCTTCTCTCACCCCACCCCAGGCATACACCCAGCTCCTAGGCCACTGACTATTGCCTGTATTTGACAGTGATGTCACCCAGGACTCCAGCAAAACTTTCAGATCCCCTGGAGGGAAGTCCCCACCCTGGTCACTGCCAAGGTCATTCATATACCTTAATCAATCCCTTAGGTTGTGTTCTCTAACCTCATGGCCTTACTTTTAGAGTCCTAGAATTCTAGAGCTGGAAGGGATCTCAGATATGAAAAAAAAAAAGAAAAGAAAAGATTTGGGAGTCCAATTGAACACAGAATGAATGAGAGCAAGCAATGTTATTGAATGACTAAAAATTTGATTCATTCCTCTTTAATAACAGAAGTCTTGAAATGCCTTAGTATCAAGATATGGACTAGAACCTAGGTCTCCTGATTCCTAATCCAGGGCACACTCTAGACCCCATTGACTATGCTGAAGTTTAAGCAATTAGAGAACAAGCAAGCACTAAACTGTGTGGTCTTGACCGTCAACACTGAGAGACAGAGAGCAGGGCCAAGTCACTGTGGGCTTGCTGGGGGAAGTCTTGCTATGACTGCACCCAGCTTCAAAGGAATACTTAGCCCATTGTCTCTGTATTGTTCCTACTGGACCTGGCTATCCTTTTTTAAATTTTTAAATTTGAATTTTTAAATTTTTTTTTTTTGGACCTGGCTATCCTAAGAGAGATAGGGGCATTCTGAGGTCCACCTTTATTGCTCTCTGAATGGGCCAGCTCAAGGTGAACTCTACTCCTTGAAGCCTCCTTGAGCACTCTGCCTGGAGCTCTCCTTTGCCTCTATCATATTCTATCCTGTATATTATCTTTTTCAGACTGTAGGTTTCTCAAGGGAAGGCATCATATTCCTTTTCCTCTTTGTGTGACCCATGGCCCAGGCCACTTTCCCCAGACTCCAGGTTCATAGGGACCTAATAGAATCTTGGGGCATTTGAGCAAAGAGAGTCACTTTTTCTCTTTGGCTCATTGCCCTCACCTCAAATACTCCAGGAAAAAATTGTCTATAAATATATTCATGATATAGCTCTGTCTAGGTTTTCCCAACGGTGAATAATGAGATCCCCAACTTTCACATGGGCACTCAAGGTATCAGTGATATGTTAGGCATGGGACTGATTTTATTCCTCTCACCCAGGAAATGCATGATGTGACAGATTTGTAGGAGTCCATGAAGAGATACAGAAGCGCCTAAGGCCTTTGTGTAACCCATAACACTTACTTTGGAGAACAAACATAAACTCTCCTCCGACTGGGCACTGGAGATCAAGTAGTCCCTTCCCATCAGACCTGCACTGGTCATGCAACTAATGGCAGTAAAGGGATGGATGGCAAGATCCAGATCTCTTGGCCCCCACATGATATGGTGCTAGTCCTCCAGCCACAAGAGCCATGTTGGCAATCTTCCTTTTCCTTATGCTGTTAGGGAAATCTCCTTTGAGGAGGCTAGTGACCAAACTCTAGTGTCAAGGTGCTTCCCTTGGCCCCCACTGCCTAAGTGTGAGGCTGGCCGCATTTCACCTCTCCTCAAGGTTCTCTGGTATCTTGAACAGGATTTAAGTGTTGAGCCTTTGCCACTGGCTCAAGCCTCCACTGATTGTGTCCCTATAATTTTAGGGGTCCCCCGTGCCCCAGTTCCATTCACTCACTTAACAATCAGATTCACTTTAGCAAAGGTTTAAGGTATGATAAGCTTTCAAGGTATACTAAGAACACATATGCAAATGTTTCTCCCCTTCCAACATGTGGGTACGTAATCCCCTCTTACAAAACCTCAGTCTCTGCAGAGGAGAGAGGGATTATATTCACAGCTTAGCTCAGTTCCTATGTAGTATGGTTCCAAGCTCCCCTGGGCTTGTGTCCCCACACCCTAGCTTTTCAGGGCTTCACTGCTGGGCTGACAGCAACATCTGGCCTGGCATCCTGCCTCTAATGTTGCCATGGCTTGGGGTCTTGGGTCTAGTGGCTCTACTGTTTGTGTCTACAACTGAAAAGGACAAACACAAGAGACCCAATTCCCAAGTCCATTTCTTGGGGCCCCAGGGCCTAAAAGGGAGAGGTAGCCTTTCCCCCCTACTTAGCTTAGTATAGGGTGCCCATGTTAGGAGTGAATAGCACCCTCACTGGCCCCTATTTCACCCTTTGAGTGCTGTTGGAAACACAGTGAGACTCTGCTAGTATGGTAGTTTTAAAAATTCAGTCTTCCAGGTTACTCAGCCAATGCCTACCCACATGGTAGGGGACTATGGAATGTCCTCTCCCAGAAGTAGATCCCTGCTGTTTCCCACATGAGGACCTCCATCTTATATGATCTGGGCATGTGGAAAGCCCCATTACACTAGAATTTAGATTTATGCACCAGAGAATCCCTAAGGTTAGGGAAGTCTACTCTCAGGGTCATTCCTCTTAGGCTGCATGTAAACATGTGACTTCTACCATGTGCTTCTTCAGTGATCTAGCTGCTGTCATTTTATGGGGCAGGGAAAGTTGATTCTCAGACATTCTAATTTCTTAACTGTGTCCATGAGAAAAACCCCCACAAAAAATCAGAAAGTGCTCAGAAATTTGAGATCTCTGGGCTCCCCTCCTAGACCCCTTGGCTGTCAATCACACATAGTTCACTACATTTCTCCTGAAAGTCACCATTAATTGCTCCTGGGACAAGGAAGAGGAAAGGGAGATATCCTGTCTCACTCCCCGATTTTGTCGCACTCTGCAAGAAGGTTCAAGGAAAAAGATGAAGTATTGAAAGGAGAGAGAGACCCCATTACTTTGTTTTACATAGACCATGAAGGGTAGGGAGGCTCCTCTAACAAGTTCATTTCCCTAACTCTCAGTTGCCAATCAGCTTGGAGGAAGCACCAATCACTGGGGACCAGTCAACAAACATTCAATCAATAAATATTTATTCAACACCTACTGTGTGCCAGACACTGTGCTAAGTGGTGAGGATACAAAAAGAGGCAAAAGACAGTCCTTGATCACAAGAAGCTTACAATCTAACGGGGGAGATAATGTGCAGACAAATATATACGAAGCAAGTTATGTACAGGATAAATAGGAAATAATTAAGAAAGAGAAAGCAGTGGAATTATGAGAGAGGTTTCCAGCATCCTCTCAGTAGGGCGCCAGTGCTTGTGCCTACGCTTCATTGGGAGGTACTCCTCAAATGCCACCAAATAAAGAACCACCCCCTGAAATCTCACCCAGTTCAGTGGGGAACTCACCACCATACCCCACCTGTCCCCTGTATCTGCAGTACTGAGCATAGTGCCTTACACACAGCAAATGCTTTGTGACTCTTTGCCAAATTGGCTGATGCTCTTGAGGTTTAGAAACAAATCATTGAGGATTTTCTTTCTTTCTTCCCTTTCCCCCCACTCCCAACCCCCCAACTCCAGTGGCTCAGGAGATGCTCTTCTCTGATTCAGTTTGTTCTGAGCAAATGAATCAAAGCTCGGAAATTAAGGGCTAGGGTGGCTAGGTGGCGCCATAGTGCATAGAGTGCAGGGCCTGGAGTCAGAAAGACTCATCTCCCTGAGTTCAAATCTGGTCTCAGACACTTGCTAGCTAGGTGACCCTAGCCAAGTTACTTAGTCCTGTTTGCCTCAGTTTCGTCGTCTGTAAAATAAACTGGAGAAGGACATGGCAAACTGCTCCAGTATCTTTGCCAAAACAAAACAAACTAAAACAAAACACAAATGAGATCACAAAGAGTTGGATACAACTGAAAAATGACTGAACAACAACAATAAAAATTATGAAGTGGGCCAACTCTAGAAGGTGAGGCTAGGTTGATTGCTCAGGGGTCCCCCAAAGGGCCCACAGGCATAGGTAGGGTCCTAGTAAAGAATCTAGGTCTGGAGACTGGGGAGAGAGCTTACCCATCAGAATTATAGAATTGAAGTCCTCCTGGCCTGGCATCAGGGGCCTGTACCTCTGACCAGATAGAGCTCTGCTGGGCTGTTCTGATGAGGGTCAGACCAGGTGACTGAACAACTCCCTGGCAGTAGCCCCAGCACATGATGTACACAGAGGGCATTGGCCTCCTTGTGTTAGGACTTCTGGGTAGCATTACCACCTGGTCAGGGCGGGGCCTGCTGGGACTGGTCAGCCCCTACATTAATCCTTCCACAGACTTGTCCAGCTCTGAGCGCTGAGCCCCCAGGGACTCACACACAGAGCACAGCTTCTTCCACTGCCTAATTGGCCAAGTCCCTGTTGCTCTGTTCCTTCCCTCCTCCCACTGGGACTTTCCATTTTTAGTTAAGCCACCTCCTTGAATTTGACACTTGGTCCGCTTGGTCTTTCCTGGATATTTTTCTCCCACCTGGGTCATGCTCTCTATCCCTCTTTTCTCCTATTTAAAGCCTGATTTCTCTAGGTTGAAAACTTCAAGTTTCCCCCTTAATATATCACATCTCTCATTTACCTTCTTTTTCTGGACTTTTTTTTTCCTTTCTCAAACTTTTGAGAAAAATTTACTTTTCAAAGTGATACTTGTTTATTTTTTTAAATTTTATTAATTTATTTTGATTTATTAATAATCACTTCCATTTGCTTTTGAGTTTAAAATTTTTCTCCCCTTCCTCCCCACTGCCCTCCCCAAGATGGCCCATGATCTGATATAGGCTATACATTTACATTCCTATTAAACATATTTTCACATTAGTGATGTTGTAAGCAAAAATTAAAACAAATAGGAGGAACCATCAGAAAGAGGAAACAAAACTCAACAGAAGAGAAAAAAAATAGCAATTCAACTTCCATAGTTCTTTCTTTGGATATAGATAGCATTTTCATCACGAGGCCTCTGGAAATGTCTTAGATCCCTGTATTGCTGGGAAGGGTTAAGTTTATCAATATTAGTCATTACACAATGTGGCTGTTATTGTGTACAGCATTCTCTTGGTTCTGGTCACTTCACTCAGTATCAGACCATTCAAGTCTTTCCAGGTTTTTCTGAAGTCAGCCTGTTCATCATTTCTTATAGCACAATAGTATTTATTCTATTACATTCACATACCACAACTTGCTCAGTCATTCCCCAATTGATGGGCATCCTCTCAATTTCCAATTTTTTGCCATCCAAAGTGATACTTGTTTAAAGAGACCCCCCAGGTATGGTGTTCTGGAGCTGGAAGACCTGAGTTCTAATCCATCTGTCGATATCAAGTAGACATTTCCTAGCTGTGTGACCTTGGGTAAGTCATTTAAACTCAGTTTCCTCAGCTGTAAAATGAGGATAATAATAGTGCCTACCTTTCAGGGTTGTTGTGAGGATCATGCGAGATGATATTTGTAAAGCACTTGGCACTGTTCCTGGCACTTGGTAGGTACTTAATGAATGATTAAGTTCCTCAGTGAAAGAGCACCTCCCCCAGAACTCTGTGATGCATCACTGTGTTCAGTCAGACTGATCCTTTGGAGAGAGGAGCTGGTCCCAAAGTCCTTGGTGAGGACAGGCACTTGTGCATACAGACACTTGCTCAGGGGCATTTCCCCCAATAAGGCCAGAATATAAAGGAGGAAGAGCCTGTGACCCCCCCTGTTCTGTGTCCTTCCCCTTGGGCACCACCTGCCCCTCTGGCTGCAAGGAGACTTACTCTGTTCTTGGTGCACGTGAATGAATTTCGTGTTCTTCATAGGAAGCATCACATCCATCACTCCCTTGTGCCTGCCTAGTACCCCTGGGAGGAAGCTAGTGAAGGAATGTAGGCATTGGTGGGAAGGACCATCTTGAAGAATGAGCCAAACTAATCTTTCTAAAGCCTTGCTTTACATGTGACATTCTTTGGGCTCCTTGAATCAATTTCAATGACTCTCTATGGCCTAGCTCCAACCTTACCTCCTTTAAGAATTAGGGTTTAGGAATTAGGAATAGGTCCCTCTTTCCCCAACAACTCCAGCTGAAACTCATCGCTCTTCCTCCTCTGAAGACCTGGGGCACCTACTGTCTCTCCCACTTATTTGGCACTTAGCATAGATGGCCTTATTTCTCAGTTATGTGTTCATGTGCATCTCTTGTCTTTCCAGTAATGCCGCAATAGCTAATTCTTGGAGGAATAGGGATTTGTTCTACATTTTTGTATCCCCTGGGGTTCAGCAAAAGACCAGATATGTAACTGATGCTTAGTAAATATTTATTGATTGGGTGACAGAAGAAACGGTCTGTCCACTCTTGGGCTCCAGGATCATTCATGTTAACAAAGCAACAAACCAAGGGGGGATCTCTCTATCAACCCCAGAGAACAAAGAGTTTCTGGTGAATGGGTCCACAGTACAAAGGGCCTTTGGCGCACATACAAATGACCAATGGTCCTATTGATAATCTGGGAACCCTTGGCCAAGAGATTTCTGGTGGCCTGAGGGTTACCCAATGAGGTAGTAGACAGAGCTGGGGAGATGAACTTCAAAGTCTGATTTCCAAGAGGTCTGGCCACTAGTTTATGCACTGCTTTCTCAGGAGCTGCAAAAAGATTCAGGAGCTGTTTTGATTGGTTTGCTACCCAAGGAAATGCATATTGAAGCACTTAGGCCTAAGTGAAAGTCAAGAGGGCAGTATTCAAATAAGGGGGGAAGGGGAGAAGAGAGCAGGGGGTTGATGGGGGGGCAGATTGGGGGAGGGGATAATCAGAAGCAAACACTTCTGAGGAGGAACAGGGTCAAAAGAGAGAACAGAATAAATGGGGAGTAGGATAGGATGAAGGGAAACGTACTTAGTTTTTCCCAACATGACTACTATGGACGTGTTTTGCATAACTGCACACGTACAACCTATATTGAGTCGCTTGCCTTTTCAATGAGGGTGGGTGGGGAGGGAGGAAGGCAGAAAATCTGTAACCCAAAGTTTTAAAAACACCGTTAAAAATAAAAAAAAAAGAAAAAGAAAGAAAGAAAAAAAAAGGACAGGACTCAAGCCTTGATATGATGTTTAGTCCTAGTCCATGTAAACTGAATCAGGCCCCTCATGTAATTCATGATATGTTATTTGCACTGAGATTTTGTTAACTTATGAGCGTGGATTTTGAGCTGGAAGTTACCTCAGAGGCCGTCTAGCTTAGGCCACTCATTTTGTAGGTGAGAAAATTGCCAATGGTCAGCCAGTCAGCAGGCGCTTATGAAGTGGTTACTACATGCTAGGCACTGTCTTAAGCACTGGGATACAAGTAAAGCCTTGACCTCATGAAGCTCACATTCTAGTGGCAGAGACAGCGCGTGAATGACCGACGTAAACAAGATAGATACAAACTCAATGGTCGGCAGTCTGAGAAAACTCTTCTGCAGAAGATAGGACTTCAGATGAATCTTGAGAGAAGTTAGGGAAATAAAGAGGAGGAAACAAAGGGGCAGACTAGGGGTAGGGAACCTGTGCCTCGAGGCCACGTGTGGCCCTCTAGATCCTTGGGTGTGGCCTTTTGACTGAGTCCAAGTTTTACAGAACCAATCCTTTTATTAAGAGGGTTTGTTCTGTGAAGTTTGGATTCAGTCAGATGGCCACCCTTGAGGACCTAGAGGGCCACATGTGGCCTCAAGGCTGTAGGTTCCCCAGCCGTGGCAGACCGTTCCAGACACAGGAAATAGACTGTACAAAGGCATGGTAATGGGAGACAGAGTGTTACGTTAAAGGAACTACAAAAACACCAGTGGACCTGGATTGTTGAGGAGAGGAGAGTGAAAGAAGTGGGGGGAAGGGTCCGGGTTGTAAAGGGCTCTAAAAGTCAGAGGATTTTATATCTGATCTTAGAAGCCATCGGATCCTGGGGCAGCCTCCAATGGGGTCACAAAGAGTTGGACACAACTGAAATGACCAGATGACCGACACGGTAGGAAGTCCTTAGAGCAGGCAGGCGACAAGGCCAGAGCCACATATTAGAAAAATCTCCTTGGCAGCTGAGTGGAGGCAGCTTGGGGGAAGGAGAAACTTAAGGCCAGGAGAGCAACGAGAAGGCTCCTGTAGTAAGTAAGACCTGTGATGAGGGAGGGCTTGGGCTAAGGTGCTGGCTTAGCTGTGAGTGGAGAGCAAGGTAAAGTGTATAAGAGATCCTGGAGGCTGAAAAGACAAGATTTGGTAACTGATTGACTCTGTGGGGTGAATGAGAGGGAAGAGATGAGAATGTCACTGAGGTTGTGAGCCTGGGTCAGTGGGAGTATGGCAGTGTCCTGGACAGTAATGGGGAGTTCAGAAAAAGGCAGGGGGTTTTTGGGAGGGGGGATGATTATGAGGTCTACTTTGGACATATTGAGTTTGAGATGTCCATGGGACACATCTAGTTCAAAATGTCCAAAAGGTAGTTGGTGATTCTTTTTTTTTTTTTTAAATGAGCAATTGGGGTTAAGTGACTTGCCCAGGGTCACACAGCTAGTAAGTGTCAAGTGTCTGAGGCCAGATTTGAACCCAGGTCCTCCTGACTCCAAGGCTGGAGCTCTATCCACTGCACCACCTAGCTACCCCATAGTTGATGATTCTTGACTAGATTAGGAGAACTATATATGTGTGTGTGTACATTTATACATATATGTGTATATATATGTGTATATTGCATAAATCTGCATAGAGATGAAAATTGGACCCAAAGGAGTTGATGAGATCACTGAGTAAGATTGGATAGAATGAGAAGAGACCTCAGGAGAAAACCTTGGGGGACACATCTAGTTAGAGGGCACGACATGGATGGAGAGCCAGCAAGGGAGGCAGAGAAGGTTTTACTCGTGGTGAGATTCTGAGGAGGGATTTGTAGAAATGGCAGAAATCGGATTTGAAGCCCAGGCCCCTTGACTCCAGACCCAGCAACGTTCACTGCGCTATGCTACCACTCTTGTTTATTTGGTTTAGCAGCGTGTCTGGCACATAATAGGGACTTAATAAATGCTTGTTAACTTGATTTGACTTTATTTCCTGGCTAATGGCATGAGGGGGCTCCAAGATCTTGAAGGGCCCTTGGGTCCTTAGATTTCCTAATCTTTTTCTTGTATCCACTCTGCTCTTAACTCTAAATCCTTAGAAATCACTCATAGATTAAACAGCAAAGGCCTTCTAGAAGGCCAGAATGGAGTAGGATTAGGGAATGTTTAGCCTGTGAATGACTTGGGGGGGGGGAGTCATAAAAGCACTCTTCAAGTATAC